CTCACAGGATTTGATTGATAACAGTGGGATCCAATGGTCACTGCTACTCTCAGCCAAGCCTGAGAGAACAGGTGGAAGAGAGAGAGCTGCTACAGACAGGCACAGCATTCAAGTGAGGACTCAAGTAAGTATTGGGGGGGCATACTGCTACCTAAACATTTTTTACCATAATGCATGGAATGCATTCGAGTAAAAAATGCTTAGGCTTTAGAACCACGTTAAAGCATACTTGTCCGCATATATGTGAATGGGCACTTAAAGTGTTTATACGCTCCAAAATGCAATGAAATACAAATCCAGTGCCAAGATATTGGGCACTGGATCATGTGAGTGCATACTTGTTTTTACATTGCTTCATTTTAATAAAACTACTACACTATAAGATTTATCTCCTTTGGTATATGATGATTCGCTGCTGAGGGATATAGCCATACTGGTAGGATATTTGGAAACACAGAGGAGAAACCCACCGGGATTTAAAGCCCTGGGCAAGTAAGCACTTATGACTTGTGAACGATCAAGACAACAATTCATATATTTTAGTACTGGAGACTGAATAGTAACATTTCTTCTCCAAGGTAGCAATGCCCTGCTACAGGGAAGTAACTTTACAATGCATGCAGGGCTGGTGCTTCCACTAGGCAAACTAGGCAGCCACCTAGGGCGCACTGCCACCTAGGGGTGCCTGGGTGCAGCACTCTCTGTGTGGGACGCTGCCACATCATGATTGATCCTTCAGCTGAGGGGAGGGGCGGAAGAGGGGAGGAAGAAAGGATAGAGGTAGATGCTGGGTTCCTGGGGCCAGTGTAGCAGCTGAGCTGCTGCTCCTTCCAGTGTTCCTCTCAGACTCAGTCCCTTAGCAGCTACCAGCCAGCTTGGAGTGATTGCTGTGGAGGTCCAGCCCTTCTCTTCCCATGCATCAGCAGAGGCGGAGCAGCGCCTGCGGAGGAAAGTAATGTCTCACTCTGATGTCTCGTATCTGTGTGACCCAACTGGCCATCCATCACATGCAATGTGTCAGTGAGTGATGACATTGTCACAATCCCACAGCCTGCTCATCTAGTGCCTGCTGATCTGTGTCAGTGTTGGTTGTGGTGTGTTGTGTCATATCTGTCAGTGTGGGATCGCTCAGTTCAGGTGTTCTGTGTGTGTGGGCTGGGCTGCCTGTTGTCACTGCGTTTTATCTCCCTTCATTGCCTGGGGAATTCCAGCCTGGGATCTGTCAATCTCCACCAATCTCCACTCACTGCAACTGTCACCCTGCCACTCCCAGCCACAGATACATTCCAATAAAAGATATAAAGTGCAGTGCTGATAAATAGTTATAAAATATGAGTTCATCCAATGTAGGAAATAAATAATAGGTAGATAAAAAGTTCATATAGCATTAAATGAATAATCCTCTCAGCAGCAGATTTCTAGCAAGCTTGTGACTGGAACCAATGGTAAAATTGCGCACTCACCGAAAGCGCATAGGTAATGCGCATATGTAAATATAACCACCAAGGATCTTTTAAGTAGGCGGAATGTGTCACGTATATGGTGAGCTTCCTTCTATGGATCGGTCATCAAGTCTTGGGATAATAAGGAAATCTGCTGGATCCAGAGGTCCCCTTAAGGATGGATAGGTGCTCAGCCTGGATACAGGGCTCCCTTCCTCTGGTTGTTGAATTCGATGGGGGTTATCTGCAAGTTTAACCTCTTCAATACAGGGCACTTTTGCCCCCTTCCTGCCCAGGCCATTTTTCAGGTTTCAACGCTCTCACACTTTGAATGACAATTGCGCGGTCATACAACATTGTACCCAAACTAAAATTTTATCATTTTCTTCACACAACTAGAGCTTTCTTTTGGTGGTATTTAATCACCACTGGGATTTTTATTTTTTGCTAAATTAACAAAAAAAGACCAAAAATTTTTAAATAAAAACACGTTTTTCTTTGTTTCTGTTATAAAAGTTTGAAAATAAATAATTGTTCTTCATAAATTTAGGCCAATATGTATTCTGCTACATGTCTTTGGTGAAAATAACCCAAATTAGGATGTATTTTTTAGTTTGTAGGAAAGTTATAGAGTTCACAAACTATGGGATATACTGTATCTGAATATTGATCAATCCTGAAGTACTGACAGCCAATCTAATTTCTTGAGGTCCAAGAATGTCAGAACAGTACAGATATCCCCAAATGACCCCTTTTTCCAAAGTAGACAGTCCGACGTACTTCATAAGAGGCATGGCGAGTTTTTTGAAGTTGTAATTTTTTTGTCATAATTTTTCGGAAAATGAAAAAATAAAAACAATTATTTTCACTATTTTTTTTTTTACATACTATCACCAGTGCAGTACAGCATCATATAACTGGCATGACGGTGATCAGGGACACTGACTGGTGACAGTATGAAAAAAAATATATCTAATTAAAAAAAACAATTTTTTTTACTATTACATTTTTTTTTTCTTTTTTTTAAAGATTTTGTTTTCATATTTCACTATGACCAAAGTAGTACAATGTTACCATAGTTACATTGTACTACTTTGGGGAAGTGATCAGTATTTTTTTTTTTTTACACAATTTGCTTATAGCAAAGAATTACTTTGCTATAAGCAAGCATGACATCGATTCATTCAGGGTTTTTTTTTTTTTTGTGCTTAGCTGTGATTTGGCCACGGCTAATCACATGACACAGCTGGGCTGTGATTGGCCTAGCTTGTGCATGTGATCGCTGTGACCATTCACAGCTAAACACACTAGTATACAATGGATGGCATGAATGAAGCCATCCATTGTATACAATTGTCATGTGACCTGCTGTGATGTGATTGTCACAGCAGGTCACATGGTACCGGCAACGGGGCCGGTACTCAGATCTGTCATCGGCCGTGTCCGAGGTACATGGCTGGTGACAGATCGTGCCACTGTGCGGCTTTGCAGGCGCGCAAACTGCGCATGCCCAAAAGGACGCCATATGGCATCCACCCGGAAAGGTGAGGGTTTTTTGCCGGCCGCCATTCGGCCATAGGCCGGGAGGGAAATGGTTAATAGCTCCATAAAGGAGCCATAAAACAGGTGCCCATAGTGTAGTATATCAAAAAACGTTTATTCCGGTAAATAAATAAATCAGAGGTTAGCCTCCCCTCTGATGATGTGCTATGCACGAAAGGCCTAAGGAGGACCTGACATAACGTGACGTCATTGCCGCTGAAGCCACGAGGAAGCCCGGCGGCCATCTTTAATAGTGTCAGTGCTGCTGAACTCTGCATTTGCCTAGGGCTCAAAATAGTCTAGCATCGGCCTTGAATGCATGCAGGTTTATCAATATGCTTTGTCACCTAATAATACTTAAATCATGTTCCCTTTATCTAATATGTTGTAGAAAGTAAATAAAACAGTTATGTAAGGCAAGGCTAATGCTATAGTTTTTACTGCCAAAAGGAAACGAATGCTACTTTTTACATGTGACTAATTGGCCCTCAAATGATCTGCCTTTTTTAAACATTTTTTTTTGTTTATTTCATTCCCACACTTCTCCATTCTTCTCTCTTCACCTTTGTTACTTCTAACCTGGGCACTGCTTCTTTCTTGCCTCAGTTTTTTATCACTTCTCCCTTTCTTTTATCTCATCACCTTGCCAGAACTTTAGCTAACTGTTAAAATAGTAAACCTGCTCATAGATGGGTCAAATTTGGGTCCATTCAGCAGGGATTGGACAAATTTCAATTTATCTATGGCTGTTTCCTTTCATGAGAAGGAGATCTAATGATTGACATCACATAAATTAGCTTGTTGTAAAATTTGTGTTTGATCAGTGCTGTAGCGCTAATGAATCAGTGTATTCTGACAGCAGAGGAGTCCCTACTGTTAGAATACAATAACAGGGTGGGGAGGATTTCCTAATCCAACTCGAATGTGTGGATGGGGGAATCACTTAATTTTTTTTTTTTTTTTTGATCAGCTCGCTGGCTGATTGAATAAAACAGAGCCATTAATGACCAACTTTAGCATCTTCCACCTTTGTTCACAGCTGGAGAATTGGATGGCTTTACAAGTACAGAGACATAAATTGGATCCCATGCCCTCAATAATGGATCCATGGTGGCCTCAGCTTGGACCAAACTTAGCTTCTGGTGCTTATTTTTGGTTAAATAAAAACAAAAATGCCATTACAGAACTGCAGTTCTAATCCATAATTAACCTTGTGTATGTCTACACCCACACACACCCATATTAACAGTATTTTATATATACACACAAAATAAAATGTTTCTCTAGGGAACAGAATGTTCATGTTTGAAGGTTAATGGCCTGGATATGCAATGGCACTACAGCTATGAAATTGGTAAGGTGCAGCAGAGTATATAATGACCTCTGGAGAGCAATTACCCCAGTTATAAAAGTATGTCCTTGCTGAGTGCATTTCCAGTCTGCTTTCATCTTACTGCGTACATCCTTTGCATTCAATTTAAGAGCATTAAGGCTCATTGCTTTTCATTTGGAAAGGTCTTGTTGTAAGAGAAACATACACGTTAAAACAATGCACACAGTTCAGTGACAACTTATTAAGTCAGCCTACTCAGACTGCCTCCCTTGTTAAAAACACTCGATGGACACAATTTTTTTTTTTCTCTCTTTAATAGTATATAGGTGATGTGAAGATTTTGCTGGCTCAGGGACAGAAAGACATATGAGGTTACAGCAGGAAATGTGAGGTTATAGGATGGGTTATGAGAGGCCGTGCTCTACTGCCCTCTCTCCCCACAGTTCATAAGAAAGGTTAAAAAGTGCACCATATATTGCCCATACAAGATTAGTGTGCAGAGATGTCACCATGACACCTATTTTATTTAGCTCCCCCTCACTGTACACACAGCAGTCTTGCTGTCATGTTTTTGTACAGTACACCCATACCCATATCCTGTTTTCCCCAACCCCTCTTTATTGCCCTGATTGCTTTCACTCTTACATTTCCCTTGCTATCTAATATCCTCATTATTCCACCTTTCAACTCTGCTCCTTCTTCCCCTTTTTTGGCACATATGGTAACACAGTCTGGGTGCTCTTGTCACACACTGTCTGGGTACTGCAGTTTCCTTGTGCCCCTTCGGACCCCAGAGATTCCCCCTTTGTTGCTCCGTATGGTAGCACAAGGGACAGATGCTCTTGGAGGGTCCCGAGGGGTCTCCTGGCTATAAGGGGGATCTTCGCTGTCATCACAGCAGAGTGCATGGTATAGAACTTTGTCACTGAACCTCACCCGGTCCCTGGAACCAGGTGTCCTTGCTGGAAGAGGTTTCTGCGGTGGCACAGGAGTTTCTTCACTTGACGAATCTGGCCCATTGGGTGTGGCTCCTCCATTAAGAAGCCTGAAGTCAGGGGGGCGGTCTGAGCCATCTCCGGAGTCTGAAGGTGTGGAGGCTTCTAGAAAAGAACAGAACTCCCAGCTGTCTGAACTCAGGAAATCCAGGGGTCCCAGGTCACAGAGAGGTCCTCCCTTTTCACTGCTGGATGTGCTACTAACAGTTCCTGGAGTCCAGTCATCAGTGTCTAGTTCAAACTCAAAGTCCGAGGTAAGTCTGTCTATCTGCTCCACCACCTAAAATATACATACAGAGGGTTAGTTGTTCCTATCACAGCAAGTTAATTACAACATTTCTTTGGCTGTGTGGCACCAGACTACAACGAACATCACTAGGTTATTGGAGAATGTAAGTATGTTACTGGGTGGGCTACACTTAGGGGGTGGGAGAATTTAAAGGACAACTTCACTTAAAGTTGTCTTTAGGATACACTAAAGAGCAATTAAGGTATGTTATTGACATATGATAATTGACTAATGCCAGCCATAAATGGTTGGAATCTCAGCCGGTTCAGAAGGATTTATTAAAATTAGTGTGTATGTTCCTGTAACAGCCAGGTCCTTTTATGTCATTTCCTAACCTGTCCTAGAAAAATAACAGCAGGGTTCTGCCTTGTTAAATTCGGCATCAAAGATACTTTCTTTCCCCTGACTGTACAAGCCTAATTTTAGACAATGTAAACATAGGCAATGTAAACATAAATAGTATATATACACACACATTTCAACAGGAAAAAGATTTTTATAATTTGAGTAAGAAATGGTGTCTGTGTAACCCAGAATAAACAGTATTGTTGTTCTTGCATCTGATCCTGATCTTTAAATATCAGAAATATCATTTCCATGGAAACATGCCATCTGTGTAAGCTCAATGTTCAAACCAACTCCTCCCTATCATGTCAATGAAACTAAATCACAGTTGCATGCTAGTAGCCTATAATAAGGAAGATGAAGGCTCTGGAATAAAACAGTTATTGTAGCTTATTAGGGCACAATGTTTCTATGAAGGGTAAGCCTTGAGAGTTATGTGGATTTAATGTATATGTCAAAGCAAGATTTAAATATATATATATATATATATATATATACATACATACACACTGCGCAGAAAAATTAAAATTAAAGGAACACTTTGCAAACACATCAGATCTCAATGGGGAAAAATCTCATGCTGGATATCTATACTGATATGGACTGGATAATGTGTTAGCAATGTAAGGATGCCCCAACATTTGATGGAAATGAAAATTATCAACCTACAGAGGACTAAATTCAAAGACACCCCAAAGTTCAAAGTGAAAAAATGATGCAGCAGGTTAATCCATTTTGCTGAAATTTCATTGAAGCAACTCAAAATGGTACTCAGTAGTTTGTATGGCCCCCCACATGCTTGTATGCATGCCTGACAATGTCGGGACATACTCCTAATGCAACACAGATAGTGTTCTGGGGTATTTCCTGCCAGATCTGGACCAGGATGTCACTGAGCTCCTGGACAGTCTGAAGCAGGGGCGGACTGACCATTTGAGCACTAGGGCACTGCCGAGGGCCCAGGGTCAGTAGGGGGCCCCATGAAATGCCCCTGGCACCTTTTATAGGCTTTTTTGGGTGTGCTTTGAGTGTGGGCAAGGACACAGGAGCCCCATGATCCCCTATTGCCTGGGGGCCCCATGAGTTGTCACTCCGCCCCTGGTCTGAAGTGTAACCTGGCGCTTCGGATGGACTGAAACATGATATCGCAAAGGTGTTCTATTGGATTTAGGTCAGGCGAGCGTGGGCGCCATTCAGTTGTATCAATTCCTTCATCCTCCAGGAACTGCCTGCATACTCACGCCACATGAGGACGGACATTGTTGTGCACCAGGAGAAACCCAGGACCCACTGCACCAGCATAGTCTAACAATGGGTCCAAGGATTTCATCCCGATACCTATTGGCAGTCTGGGTGCCATTGTCTAGCCTGTAGAGGTCTGTGTGTCCCTCCATGGATATGCTTCCCCAGACCATCACTGACCCATCACCAAAATGGTCATGCTGAAGGATGTTACAGGCAGTATAATGTTCTCCACTGCTTCTCCAGAGCCTTTCACGTCTGTCACATGTGCTCAGGGTGAACCTGTTCTCATCTGTGAAAAGCACAGGACACCAGTGGTGGACCTGCCAATTCTGGTGTTCAATGGCAAATGCCAATCAAGCTCTATGGTGCCAGGCAGTGAGCACAGGGCCCACTAGAGGACATCGTGCCCTCAGGCCATCCTCATGAAGTCTGTTTCTGACTGTTTGGTCAGAGACATTCACACCAGTGGCCTGCTGAAGGTTATTTTGTAGGGCTCTGGCAGTGCTCTTCCTGTTCCTCCTTGCACAAAGGAGCATATACTGGTCCTGCTGATGGGTTAGGGACCTGTGTGGATGGCTGCGTGACACATGCCCACTTCTCTCATGTTCATGCATGAGACTGCTAATTAGTCTGTCAGTCACAGAAGAGGGGGTTTGGCGGCACAATTTTGTCATGGTGTCAGGTTTCTTTCACTGTAGGAAAGACTTCTGCTGCTGTGCAGTGTGAGGTAGACTGATCATTTAAATTTTTATTTTTTTGGGGGGTTTACAGTCACTTTAATGTTTAAGTTAAAGTCTGCAGGCTTAGAAAATTCAGTTTGTAAATGGATAAAAAAATGGCTAAAAGACCGTATTCAGAGAGCAGTGAATAATAATTCAAATTGTAAATGCTCTAAGTTTATTAGTGCTGGGACCCCTACTTTTTTACCTATTTATAAATTATATAGGGTCTGGGATTAAACGTATTATTTTCGTGTTTGCAGATGACACCAAGCTATGCAGTGGAATTAAGTCCTTACAGGACGTCTCCAGCTTACAAGCTAACCTCAGTTCACTAATTAATTGGGCAATATTGTGGCAATATGAGGTTTAATGTTGATAAATATAAGGTTATACACTGGGAGGCTACAAATGTATGCATTATACACTCTAGGAGGAGAACAGCTGGAGGAGTCAGAGGTGGAGAAGCATCTTCTGTTCTGGTAGATCATAAACTTAATAATAGCATGCAATGCCAAGTTACAGTTTTCTAAACCTAGCTAAATATTTTCTTGTATTAAGAGGTATAGGATCCAAAGAGAGAGATATCATATTACCCCTGTACAAATCATTAGTAATACCTCATCTGAAATATGCAGTTCAGTTTTGGGCACCAGTTCACAAAAAAGATATTGGGGAACTGGAGAACAGTGCAGAGAAGGACAACCAAACTGATAAGATAACTGAGATCAGCTGCGAGGAAAGATTAGCTGAACTGCATTTATTTTCTCCTGAGAAGACGCTATTAAGGGGGAATATGATCACCATATAATTATATAGGTGGCTCATATAGTGAACTTGGTGTAGAGTTATTCACTTTAAGGTCATTACAGAGGACAAGGGGGCACTCTTTATATCTGCAGGAAAAGAGATTTAACCTTCACATATGGAAAGGCTTCTTCACAGTAAGAGCTGTGAAAATGTAGAATAGACTCCCTCAAGAACTAGTTCTGGACAGCTCAGTAGGCTGCTTTAAAAAAAAAAGAGCTGGATCTAGTTCTAAATGCACAAAATATAACTGGATACTAACATTCACAGGCAATAACACCAGTGGTAGTTGATCCAGGGAATATCTGATTGCCTCCTGGGAGACCAGACAGGAACTTTTTCCCCTGCTGAAGTGAAGTAGATCATGTGTTATTGTTTTTTTTTTTTTTGCCTTCCTCTGGATCAACTGTTGGTATAAGATTGTGTATTGGAGGTTTTCTATTAGTTTGTTTTTTTTCTATAGGTTGAAATAGTTGGTCTTCTTTCAACCTAACTATGTAACTATTTACAGTAAAAACAAGATGGGTTCTTAAGATAATACTGGTAGTTTGTAGAGGACACAGTTCAAGATCAACTAGTACTTTTTGCACCAGACATAATACTTCCAGTGGTGTATTGAAAAGACCAATAGGTAGTGAATAGGAAAAGTGGAATATAAGGTTAAAAACAATTATTGTTAAACATGCTGCCTCCCCCTCCTCCTACCTATGTTGCATAACCCATATAAAAAACAGCAGTGTAAATATACTTTTTCCACTCTGGTCCAGTCATGTGATCTACTACCTCTGGCTCACCTGTGTCAAAGAGCATCTACTGCAGGGAAGAAGAGGAAGCGCCAACAATGGATGGGCAATGGGGGCCTGTGGTTGACATCACAGCCCTGGGAATTCACAGCCATTGACCAGCGCTCCCTTACTGCTGGATCATTTGACCTGACCAGAATTAAAAACAGTATTTACACTGCTTATTTTTTTATACAGCCCAAGCAAGATAAGTAGGAGGAGGGAGAGGCAGCATTTTTAAGAATTGTTTTTAGCCTTTACTACCACTTTATTTTCTTAGTATACACTTTGTGGCCTTTTCAGTTTAACAATAAAAAAACTAAAATGAAGGAAAAAAAAAATAAGTGATGATTCAGATATATTTGTGTAGTAAAAAAGATGGTTACTCACTTAGGGTTTGTTTAGGCATGCATAGCACCGAGTGACACTAACGTTGAGGGCAGTATGTGCCCAAGGAGGAAAGCTCGGGACGCAAAAGAAGTCTGTGCTTCAGGCATTCATCCCCGGGCACAAACTGCCCCAAATATGCTAGAATCATCTTTTTAATTTTTTTTTTACTAGTTAACCCCTTTAAAAGCTGATGTCATTAAATAAAAAAAACCCAGCCATTAAATTGTGCGTATCGACTGACTGCTCACAGAGTGATCATCATAAAAAAATTAGTTTAAAATAATGAAGAAAGTCAAAATCCTCCAGGTGGCTTAAATTTCATCCTAATATTCAGTAGCTTTACCATGGAATGCAAATAAAACAGGTTTTTGTTTAAAATGTTTTCATTGTTTTAACTAGGATTTAAACATTTTCCAATTGAATGCAGTTAGAAAAATGTGTAGTTCTTGGGTCAAAGCTGTATCATGACTAGTCAGTTATGAGACCTTCTGATATGGATTTTTTTATGTCTATTTAGGACAGTGACTGTCAACTTATTAGCTATAGAGGGCCTCAAATGTTGGCCCCTGACATCACCAAAGGGCAGCATATAATGTTCAATATATACAATGCTTAAGAGGACTGTCAGGAACATGAGACCTAATAGAGGAAATGTGGATGAAAGTGTGTGGACATACTACTTTTGTGGCTGAGGATATGCTGCAGAAGGCAATATGAAACTAGGAAAACGTTACATGAGGCTAGTAGAGATCAATGCTATTACCCTAATTAATGTTCCCACTACATTAGACTGCTGAGGTCCGAGGGTCGCACACTATATACCAGGTTGGGCACCAAGGATTTATGAAGTATATTGCCAGTATACTGTATATCCATCTGGCATACTGTAAGTCCTGCTATTTGGTTGCTATTTGTTATTTTCTATGCCCTGTTAGTTAACTAGAGACCGGTGAAATTTATCAGGAAATATGTTGTTTCTGGACTACCTGTAAAATTTAAGGACTCACCAGTTCTAACTTTGTTGAAGGCATATTATACCAGCTGCTAGGAGGGATTCTGTGTCTCTGCATAGTACTAAAGACATCAGGTATCTCAACCATTACCTTTCTTACCGACTTCCAATATTGCTGGTACTAAAGACTTACTAGAAATAATGGTAAGTAACCTACTGTGATATAAAAGAATTTAATTAAAGCCGAACCCCAGGCAGATATAATCACCAATTAATTCAGTTATACGTTTGCTAAAAAGAATCCATAAAATATATTTTAAAGTTCAACTCCAGAACACATGAATATGATCCCTTAGGTAAATTGCTTGTTTAGTCTAGGGGAGAGAGAAAGCACTTTTACCTTGCCCGATTCTCCGCTCCCCTGGCAGGCTCCAGCACCCCACGCTCCAGCAGTGTACCAACCCCTGGTGTCATCATGTTTGACGCAGAGCTATGGACCCTGCAGTGGTCTTGATGTCAGCACCTTAGACCGTTGGAGTGTGGGGGAGAAGATGCTGCGGGGACAGGAGTGGAAGATTAGATAAGGTAATTTACTTTAACAAGTCCCCTAGACCTAAAGAAGCACGTTTCCCAGAAAGATCATTTCAAGTTTCCCAGAGCTAGGTTTTAAATGCAATATTAGATATGTGTATCACCTAACCCCAAAATCCCCTCAAAAAGTCACGCCTTCTCCGGCCAGTCAGACGGAGCAGAGGGAGCACGTGACAGGTAGAAGGCGGGGCTAGGCTTGACAGCTGGGACAATGAACCTGAACTGAGCGGAGCTGGAGAGACGCTGAGAGGACCTTGGAATAATTTCATTGGAGCATTCAGAAGATCTCATGTGGATGCTGGTATAAGGATACAGAGGGTAATAGTGTCCAATACTATTGGTGCTGGTGGATACACACTGTTGCAGTGTTCACTGAGTGGTCACAGTTCATTCACATGTGCACGGAAAAATACACATATATAGTGTTTGCACACTTTTTTTGTGTTTTTGTGTTTTTATTTTTGCACGAAGAGAATATATATATATACTATTTATAAAGGTAATGCACTAGATTTCTGAATTTGTTTTTTTCGAGGTATTGCGGGATGAAAGGGAATTTCTTCTGACTGGATAAAAATTGGGAGATTTGGACAATTCTGGGACACCATTTTTGTTTGACACTATTTGTGTTTACATTGGGACATTTTGGGACACTTTATGCTGGACTTTTTTTAATTACTTTTTATTTTTGTATTTTTGAATTTTATGATTTTTTCCAATTTTTGTAATTTATGATTATATTCATCTGTTTGAATTTGTTTATATAATTTCAAAAAGGTTTTAAATGCAATTTATGTAAATAAATTACCTTATCTAGGCATCCACTTCCTATAATTCTTTATACAGCAGCACATAGACTGGGAGAGGGAGAGGCAGCACTAGAAACTAACATGGTGTGCGTGGGAAGAACAGATAGATGATCCCTTCGAAGCCGGCCATATATGTATAAAAATTTTGGCTGGTTCAACAAGGACCGGACGAATTTTGATCCATGTATGGGCAGGCTGAATGTACCTAAGTCAATCCATAAATCGACTTGGTTACAATCAGCCTGTCAGAATTCTCTGCATGCGATTATTGCCAGCAGCTATAGCCACTAGCAGTAATCGTATTCTGCCAGCCACGAAGGCTCTCGCACCACACCGCTGGCAGAATACAATAATGCTACTGAAGGGATTCCTTCATCAATGCCGACTAAGTTGATGGGGGAAACAAGATTTTTTTTCTTTCCTTCCAACCGTGGTGAAAAGAAAGAAAGTTGCACCATCTATGGGCTGCCTTAAGCTGGGTACACACAGTCCAAATATCAACCAGTTCAGCAGGAACCAGTCAACATTCGGGCCGTGTGTTTAGCTGACCTTCCAACAGAAGCCAGTCTAAGGACCAGGTTTTTTTAAAGGGTTAGCCATTGGCTGCAAGTGCTGATTACTGTGTTCTGGGGGGGAATTCTGTCAGAACACAAAGGCACAGCTTGGGGGGAGAGATTGCTGCACTAACATCGCCTAGTTAGTATGGTGATGTCTCAGTTTTTTTCCCATTCAGCCCACTATGTTGAACAAAAAAAAACTCAATGTGTGTACCAGGCTTTAGTCATCTGGGGCAGCACAGTGGCTAAATGGTTAGCACTTTCACCTGGCAGTACTAAGGTCGCTGGTTCGAATCACAACCCCAGCACTACCTGCCTGGAGTTTGCATGTTCTCCCTGTGACTGCATGGGTTTCCTCTGGGTACTCCAGTTTCCTCCCACACTCCAAAGACATGCTGGTAGGTTAATTGACTCCTGTCTAAATAGGCCCTAGTATGTATATGTATGAGTGTGAGTTAGGGAATGTACAATATATGTATGTAAAGCGCTGCGTAAATTGACGGCGCTATATAAATACCTGAAATAAATAAATCTGCTCTACTTTATTGTCCAGTTACAGGCCTGGGGTGGGAAGGTGACCTGGCTGTATTGCATAACTGCAATAGGGTATATTCAGTACACCAGTTAGGCTGCACAGTGTGAATTTCAGGTCTGGCTGGGATGATAGGCCAAACTTGCTGTATTTAGGGCCTGCTTTAATTCATTTCTCCGTTTCAAGATTCTCTGTATTTCATGAAAAAAAACTCTCCTTTGTCTCATTCGTTGGCCTGAAAAAAAAAGAGCTCTAAATATAAAGCAGACAGGAGATCATTCACCTGTTCCTCTTTTTCAACGTCAGTTTAAGAGATGGTAGGCCAAAGCTGCTACTGTACTTGGGGCCTGCCTTCATCCATTTCTGAGTCACAGGATTCTCAGCATTTCAAGAAACATAAAAATATCTTCCACAATGTTCTTCTTATCGGTCTGGGAAACAGCTCTAAAAGCTCAGGAGATCATATATCTTTTCCTCTTTTTCAATGTTATTTAAAAGGATGGGAGGCCAAAGCTGCCACAGTGTCTATGGCCTGCCTTAATCTGTTTCTGAGTCACAAAACTCTCTATATTTCAAGAAATATTTGTTGGTTTTAAAAATAGCTCCAAAACAGCCATCATTTAGCCTCCAATAATTAATTTTATTATTAGTTTTTTACATTGTACTAAAATTATCAACACAAGGGGTGGAACTTGTATGACACACAACAGACACACTTGTCACTTGTCTGGTGTGTCTAGGACAGCCTGGTGTTTAAATCTCTTCTTGGCCACCAGTTTGGGGAAATCTCCCAAGCATAACACAGGTAGCAATAAGAACCTGAGGTTCTAAAGGTTCTAATCTTTCCTTGCCATGTTAAAAAATACTTTTATTGCTGGTTCCCTATTGCAAGATTTTCCCTTTCTGTTGCAGGGACATGGTAGGAACCTCAGTAGGAACCTAGTGGAATAGGGATGTAGACAGCAACACAAGCCAAACAGAAGTTCTAACTATTCCCACCTTATCTAGCTGGCTTGCCATTTTAATTCTTGCAGATCCTAAGTGCTCTTCAGTTCCAAAGAATGGAGTTCTGGCATCCAGAACTGTAGTTTGCTGGGTAAAGCAGATGTGCCTGTACAGAAATAGTTTCACGAAGATAATATATATCATAAAAAAGTTATATTAATGATTTATTGTGCTTTCCTTTTGCAATGCTATGGGGATCATAGGTAAGCAGAGAATTGTTCAGACAGTAGATATTGCACAAATTTAACTATTGCACCATAAGGTACTATAATGAGAAAATCTGAAACAGCAAGTTTATAATGAATAGCAAACTGTGGGGAATAAAAGTACAAATACATTTTATTTTTGCTGCATGCAAAGTTCTGAATGCTGAGCAAAGCTTTGTGGTGTAAACGTGTTTATTGAGATTGATTACAGTCACTCACCTCTCTCAGCTCTTTGGCCACTTGCTTGAGATCCCGTAAAATTCCCTCTAGCTGACCAATGACTGCTCGTACTCTCCCTCGGATTCTTTCCCTCTCCCCAGCTCTTCCGCTCCGTCCCCCTTGCTCCGTGGTTTTCCCCACCCCCCGAGAGCACATGATTCAGAGAGAGGCCTCCAGCCTCCTCTACAGCTTCTCTCCTCTGGGGGGAGCTCTGCATCTTAACGTCTAAACCCCCTTTGGCCCTGCACCCCCTCCCTACACTCTGCCTCCCACTGTGCTCCCCAGCCCCCTCTTCAGGAGGGCTAAAAAATGGTATAAGGTCAGGCAGACACTACTTTTGAGGCTACAGGTACACTTTGGAAACAGTGTCTGGTCTAATAAGGAAGGCAGGGGCATGAAAGAAGATCTTTGATGGGAGAGTTTCAACATGCAGCACAACTTCAACAGGTAGGATGGCAGGTCATGAAGATCCAGACTGGAGAGATAGCCCCTGTGTAAAGAAAATAATGTAACAATTATGTATAGCTATCGAAAAAGGTGCAAAGGATAAGTTACTTTTATGGAATATTACAAGGGAGTTTCACTCTCCCTTTCAGATATTTAATACTGTACATGTTATACCATATAAAAGGTTAAAATGTTACTAAACCCAGGACTCTGCATTCACTATATCCGGTCTCCCACAAAACACACGGAAATGCAATTATTTTAGTAAATATAAACTGCTAAATACCTTTTTCAATTAGCAGTATATAGCAGTCTTGTGACTTCTATCAGTGTCCAGCCGAGCACTGGTTAATCTTGTAGGAGGAGTTTTCATTCTCCTTTGATTGTCCTATGAGGCTGACCCTCCCTGGACAGTGCTTGATTGGCCCTGTGCCAATCACATGCACCCTCCCCCCCCCCAAAAAAACTCTAGCAATACACACCAAACTGATTATGTGCTGCTTGCCACCAAGGCTCTGTTCCATCAGAAGATGAATTGGAGACAGTAGAAGAGGGAGGATCAGAGAAGACAGGATGAAACTTCCTTTTTAAATAATGCAGAGGATTAACCCCTTAGGTTCCACAGAGAGCATAACAAGCATGCTTTACTGCATATACAGACTGAGTTTATTGTTGTGGGTTTAGTAACACTTTAAAGTTAACCTGTGCCCAAACTGTGCATAGTAAAATAACATTTTCCAAGCAAACAGTAAAAGCATTTTAAAACAAGGTTTTCATTTACCTCTGAAGCTATATGCATTGTGGGGAAATGTATCTTACATTTTACTGCTGTGGGTTTAGTAACACTTTACAGGAGGAGAGTACACAAACACCCAGCAAATTCTTCTTTGAGTTTAATGTCCTTGCTTCAATGAAATTATATTTCCCAAGTATATAGAAATAAATAAATAGTTTAAGGCCCCCCACCCAGCCTTCCCTTCAGTCTTGCAAAGTTGTACAGGCTCGTCACGTGTACTGAAATGACTTGCTCTGCTGATTGCACTGCACACTGAACTTCAAATTCTCACAGTGTGCATTAAAAGTTTCAGCAAGTCAAATAGAGCCTGCTTCCTTGCCTGGCTGAAGGACATCCAGCATCATCTAGAACTTTCTTCCCCAACTTTACTTTCCCTGGCCTACCCTTTGTTTGGATTTCAGTTCTTTCAGTCATGGAGGTTCAGCATCACATGTGGGCAGGGCTGCTGTTAGAAATTATGGGACCCTGCACAGCCTAGGCCAGTATTTCTCAACCTTTTTTTAGTCAAGGCACCCTTTAAAATTATGGACAGTCCCGAGGCACCCTTTAAAATTATGGACAGTCCCTCGGTACCCCATTCTAAAATGTGAAAAACTATTCTAATACTTTTATATATATGCAGCAACATCCACACATGTAAGACACCCAACATTAGAGGTGATTTATTCTTTCAAATCAAATACACTTCTGCACATTGGTACTGACTAGTATTCCAATGTTTCTCTTCTCCCTCAGTTTTTCTCCATCACTGAGCTAATGTACTGACAGAGAGAGGCAGGCGAAGATCAAACTAGGATGCTGTGCAGGCGGCTGACAACCTCTTTATCAACTGATGATGTTATTGGCTGCCAGGACTCTTGCGGCTAGAAAGTCGTAATGGTGCACTATGAAAACCTGTGGCTTTGTGTAACTAAAAGGCAGGCTTGTTCCACCCACTGGCTTGTATACAAGTTTTGGGCAATTTGTGGACATTTTGCCAAGGCACCGCTGAAGAAACCTCAAGGCACCCTGGTTGAGAAAGGCTGGCCTAGGCTACAGTCCCCTTTCCATATTATATGTGTTTTTTGTAATGCATTTTGGCATTGCCACAAAGCAGGTTACATGCATTGGTGCAATATGGTGCCATTCATTCTGAATAGCACCCCAACACATCTTGTAATAGATGTGTCAAAAAATATTGCTCACACCATTCTCTGACAGAACAACAGGTGTGCAAAGGTGTTATTCAGAATGAATGCCACCACAACGCACCAACATATGTATCGTGTGTTGCCACAATGCCATAGTGTAAACAGGCACTAAATGTCAGTACAGACATCTGCATGGATGACAGGAGGTGACCCCAGTACATGTTAGGTCCAGGTCAACCAATCAGGGAAGCCAGGAGGTGCTTGTAAGGAATGACATAGTTGCTCCCCAAATAAGAGAGATGACATAGTTACTCCACAACAAAGAGTAATGTTATCACTGGCACCCAAATATGAGAGAAAACATCAGTGCAACACTGGGTATGTAGTAGGGAGGACAGGAGGTGATCCCATTACATTTCCAAAGCCCAAGCCTAGGACTCGCCTTCATCAATTGGGGGGACCACACTTACATCTCTGGCCAAAAAGGCTCCACTATGCTGGTCCCAGCCACCCTGTGCAGCTCACAGAAAAATTGTGAGCTGCTGGGTGAGAGCAGGGGCAGGGCTCTCACGGTGTTCCCAACCAATTACTGTGGCTCCCTCCCTCCACCCACAGCATAATAAACAAATCAAGCCGCCAACAAGATTGTTACTGGAGGGTCACAAAGGAATGCTGCAGATCCACCTAAGGCTTCTTTCACAGAGGCCTACTTTCGAGGTCTATGTTGTGCCTGCACAGATTCACAGGTGTTCCATACATCCACATGCAGCAGTCCCATTCATGTCATTCGTTCATTTGTGTCAATTGGGATGCTTCAGCTCCACAGACATAGCTGCTGCTCCCAAATTTCACCTGTGTGGGTGCAGGCGCATGCGGGTGGACGTCCCCAAACCCACACTGTCTGCATTCGGGAACACACACCCGCACCCACACGGATGGCACACTGGCAGCATCGGCTGTGTCCGTGTAGGCACTGCATCTCAAATGACATGAATGGGACTGCCTGCATGCATGTGAACAAGGCCTAATTAATTGGATGTCACTGACCCTCCAGCACTCCAGCGACAGCCAAGGAGTTGGAAGGATGTGCAATATTCTGATGCGACCGTTTGACAGCTGCAGGGGAGGCGCCTGAGCTTAATGCTCTACACTGTGCAGGACTCTTCCTGCTTTCAAGGTAAACTTGGGCCCCCCAGCTGATCCAATGGGACTCAAGCCCAGTATGCTAGGGCTGGCTGTATCTTGCTGTTGGCACCCCTGCATGTGGTTATCACCTACAGCATTCTAAATGTAAATCCTGACTAAGAACTCCCACTCATCCAAACTGACATCCACCCATCAAAGAAGTTTGACATTTGCATAACTCTTCCCTATAGCCAGACTACTGCTTGCATCAAGACTGAGGGCTTTTACCCCTGGTTCACATATATGAGGCCATGCGGGACACGTTTTGCAGAGGCACGAGAGCCCATTCATTTGAATGGAATCCTGTGCCCCGTGACACGCTAGGAAGAAGTCCCTGCACTTGTTCTGAAATCGCAGCCCGCACGGGAACCTTGGTTCCCAGTACTGTTGCGTTTTTCAGTTCGGGCGGAGTACCATTAGAACTAATGGCACCCTCCCGCGGGTCCACATTTCTCTGTGCGGGTGGTGCGGCTGCACGGATTTTCATGTAGTTCTGCAGAGAGGCACCACCTGCACATATGTGAACCAGGGCTTAAGATGAGTACTGAGGCAACATACTATGTTGTTTTAGGAAGCTATATACAGCACCTTGATGACCCCTCTCGCTAGCTATGATTTGCCTGCATTGCATAGAGGAGCACTGACAGCCAGTGATGACCTCAATGGATCTATATTAAGGTATGTAAACAGAAAAATTTTATTTTTTAAAAAATTCCTTTTCACATTAATGAGATAGCAAAGTATGGACCAGGGAAGGCAAAAGATAAGCAGAATAAACTTCAGCTTTAATACAGAGCCACCAAATGATGTCCCGTTAGACAGCTGATACACAATGAAGTCACATGCTGTCAAAATTATTTATCTTTTCATCCTCACAGAACTGACACAGAAAAAGGCTCAGGGTCAAGAAGAACTGAAGTGAGTGGAATAAGTAAAAATAGGAGAAAATAAGCAGTTGAGTAGTGAATGACTAATATTTTGTGCTACAAGATAAATAATTTGGTTGGGTTTGGGTCGTTTAGTTCTACAAAACCATGATTTTACAGTCAAATTAATCCTAAATGCAGCAGTAAGACTATATTCTGCCTAATGATGGGTAGGGATAGTTGGATATACCAGCACAATCATACTGCTTTCTAAGCATTCTGGAAGCTATTTTTGTAACAGACATGCAATCTCTGGCAGCAAGTTTAATGATGAACTGGCCAAATTTGCTCAGTGGGGGGCCCCATCAGCACCCTCTCATCCAACATCTTTCAGTTGAAAAATAAAAGGTGCCAGGTAGAACATTGCCAGCCAAAAAGACCAATCAGATTCACAGTTCACACATTTTGACAGCTGGTGGTGCTGGCTGTCAGAATAAAATAGCCACAGTGATAGATTAATCTATCTGCATTATTTAGAAAAGATGGAGGAATCTGTTAGATCTTTTTCTTATTTTTTATGGAAATAGATTTCCAGGCCTTTCATCTGTGCAAGAATTTCACCATACAGCCAATGAGAGATGCTAAGCATTATACGTATAGCTAAAACTGCTTCCCCTTCAGACCTGCAAATACACCTGTCCCTCTGCTTGGGGTCACATGACATTTCAGAGC